AACTAACTTACTACTAACTAACTAACAACTAATAAGTAAAGTAAATAAGTAATAAACAAACAACAACTAGTTAGTTAGTTGTTGTGTAGTAGTAGTTGGTTCGGTTCGGTCGTCTCTCTCTCTCTCTCTCTCTCTCTCTCTCTCTCTCTCTCTCCCTCCACATGGATATAAATAAAGAAAATGGATATAATTTAAGGGAAGAATATGAGCAGCCATCCATTCATGCAACGAAATCACAAAATACAGAGACAGGCAAATGAATACATAAAAAAATATTTGAGAATAAAGTCGCATGGAGAAACCCTAAAAACGAATCTCCAAAACTATATGCTGGTTATGATGCGATAATCAGTGGAGGTGAGAAAATGACAATGAATGGGTATAAGCAGTAAAGTGAAGTTCAAAAAGACGATAAAACAGATATGAGAGAGAGGGGAAGGGTTTATAAGGGGATACCATTTAGCAGCGGAGTAGAGGCAACGCTCTCCGAGTTGGTGGATAGCAGCACGAAGTTCCATTCTGTAAGACTCTCTCGTCCCCATTCTCACTCTATTTTAGAGAGAGAAAGAGATAATTCAAAAAGATCGAGGTGCACAAACTGATAAAAGGGGAGAGAGAAAGATGAAAAAAGTGAGAAAAGCGGTTGAGAGAGATGCAGAAATGAGAGAGCGCGATTTCAAAAGGAACGAGGCACGCAGAAATTGTGATCAAACAATCGGAAATGGATTGATCCCAAGACAGAGAGGGTTTTTACGAGGGTTGAGAGAGAATAAGGTCTGCGAAGGGGAGGGACTGTAGAGAGAGAAAGGTATGCTAGCTGAGAGAGACTGATTTTAGAGAGAGAAAGACGAGGAGTGAGTTTCAGGGAGAGTTTAGAGAGAGAGAGAGAGGGTTTTACAGAAGTCTGTGAAGACCTAGATAGAGTAGGGGAGTGGGATAGAGAATGTTGGACTAAATATGAACCAATAACGCCTATTATTTCCATAGTGTCCCTGCATCCAAAACTATTCAAAAATTGTGCTTTTCCCTCCCCTCTTTCTCATCTTCTTTTCACTTGAAATTAGTCGAGCACGTACAGCATACTCCCACGGGATCACAGTAATTTCTCTTCAGGAGGATTTGTTCAATTTAAAATGGATGAACAGATTAGTCGAGCACGTACAGTATACTCCCACGGATCACAGTTTAAAAGGGCTGGTAGAGAGGGTGGGAAGAGAGCGCAGGTAAAAAGGGTGAGAGAGAGAGAGGGAGTAGAGAGAGAAAGGACCGGTTGATTTGCTGAATCGGGGTAAATATAAAAAAAATAGTGTTGAGGTTTAGGGTGTGAGAAAAAATTTATTGAGAAATAGGATGTTTAAAAAGTTAATTTTGAGAGTATCTATTATTTTTTATTTAAAATTATAGCAATCACTTAGAAATTACTATATAATTATTTTTAAGAACCTTAAAATTTAAGTTTTTAACACTTGGATCTCATCATCTAAAAATTAATTCGTCTCCATTTAATCTCGAGATCTTATTTTTATCAAGTGTATAAAGGGTACAATTAATAAACTTTTTTTATTGAGGTTAACCTAAGGTTGAATACGTCACATCCTAAATTTTAGGATTCTAAAATTAATTCTCGAAATGGTATTTTATCTGAAGACATTCCACTCCCGTCGGAATATAATATATTTTGACATTAGTCAAACTACACTTACCTTCCCTTTCTCATGGTTCATGTGAGGTTGTCATGGGGTTTCTCCAAATCGATTTAAAAGTTATGAATTTTGTGCTATTTTGGATCTTCAATGTGCGAGCATTTCCAAAAGAAAAAAGAAAACGATAAAAAAAAAAGTGATAAAATTTGTAAATATAAATTTATCAAGATATCCATAAGGTATGAACTACTTAACATATTATCCATATTATTATTATTATTTCAAAATGATCATGAGTATAATAGAAAATGTGTAAAATGTTAAAAGAAAAAGTTTATATAGAGCCGAGGCTCTAAACAATCAAATTTGATCTTATCTCAAAAATTTCACTAGAAGAGGTTGTTTTGATGTTCAAATATCTTCAAATTGATCATCTCAGCATCCAAATGCATGAACATGAGAAAAAAATGGATTTCAAGTTTGGAAATTGTGTATTTTGTAATGCATTTTTGGACCGTTAATTTTTAAAATTTACAAGTTTTCACAAATTTATCGATATACACTATTTTTGAAGTTTTTAACTTTATAAATAAATATAAAAATATATTTTGAGTCTACCACAATGATTTTCAATCTTGAAATCACATTTCTCAATACTATTTGAATGTAAGTTCTAATTTGATTGTTTAGAACCTAGGTTCTATACCAACCGCACCCAATGTTAAATAATGTATTTTTTATATATACAAAAAGCGGCAGAGGGGGACTAGAGCGGAATTTTTCTCATCAATTTATAGACAATGAGGGCAACTACATTGTTAATGAATGAAAAAATATCAAAACACCCATACGAGATGAATTGTTTAACAATGTTCCTATATTACGTGATTTAAATTCAAAACACCCATAAAAAATGCTCTTGATTTTAAGTTGAAATTGGCATTCTAAAACTTGGGTTAGTAGGGGTATCGTTCACCCATAAATCCATATTGGATAGCTAGATCTGGTCCTGATCATGTTTAAATTGATCTTAATCGATGATCCAACAACTATTAAAATATTTATAAAATAATCAAAATAAGGGTTTGTAGGAGCGGGGTCTAAAAAATAAAAGAATCAAGCGTTAAAAAAAGAAAAATACACATAATATAGGATTTTAGAGGAAGCAGGCCAGATCCCATAATAAGTTCAGTCCCAGTCTATTTCTCATCCAAATCGGTGATTTGTATCGTAAATCATTGGGTTCTAAAATATTGGTTGAAATAATGTTGAAATATAAAATAATAAATAGTACATCTCTCATGAGTATTATGATAAATTTGCCTTAATAACTATCATTTGGGTTATTTTTAGACAATTTATCCGCCATAAAATAATAGAAAATTTGTGTCCCTACCATATAATTATTGGTACAATTTTATGGGAAAATTACGGGAAGGTCTAATACCTTTTATTTGTCAAATTTTCCCCTTGGTCCAATATTTCTAAACTAGACAATTTTATCTTTTTTTTGTTCTTTTCTTTAAGTACAGGGGTCTCCAGTTTGAGGGGAGGCATATCTCAAGCAGTATGATATTCGCAACATCGGATTGCTTTAAGTATGGGATGTTCGATGATTTAAACACTGGACATCCCTCCTTGGTTAAATATGGTAAACGCAGTATTAGACATAAAAGTATGATAATTCTAATGGCTTTGTTATTTTATTTCAAGGGAAAAAATATCCGACATGCCCTTTTGCGTTCTTGTGATAGAAACCTCGAGCAGGTATTTTGTGATTTTTTTTTCTTGCTTCGATGTCTTAAGGGAAAGGTTTCCCTACTTCCCATATAAAATAGAAGATCAATGTTTTTTTTACAATCTAACCATTCATATTTGATCATGAGCCACTTGCCGTTTGATCTTAGATAGCTTTAAAATATTTTATTTTTAATTGTTGTAATACAAATTGTACGAATATGAAATTTGGTCCATACCATCTTCTCATTGGAGCGCACCTATAAAAATATTTAAAATAATGATAAAATATAATAACTAAAATACCCCTTAAAACTTTCAAAGGTATTTTGGTCATTAATTTTTTTGGGAACCTTTATATATATATATATATATATATATATATTTTATAAGAGCGAGTTTAATTGAGGATTGGGGCAAAATATAGTGTCAAAATATTTTATATAAAATATGGTACTATATAATTTTTTAATATAAAATTTTTTATATAAAATATAGTGTCAAAATATTTTAAATAAAAATATTTTATATAAAATATTTTATATAAAATATAGTGTCAAAATATTTTAAATATAGTGTCAAAATATTTTATATAAAAATAAATTAAAATTAAAATAATATAAAGACTTGACATTGTAATTGAGACAATATTAACCCTCAATTCATAATAAACGGTTGGATAAGAAAAAATATATAAGTTTTATACAATTATAATATTAACCCTCAATTCATAATAAACAATTGGATAAGAAAAAATATATAAGTTTTATGTTGTATAGGACACAAAGAAAACTTGCCCATGTCTCAAACATTAGAAAGAGTCTAAAATGTGGCCATCTACCAAACAACATACAAAATCTAACGTACTACAATTACTCCGATATCAACAATTTTGGCCAGACCGTCAACATGAGCTAGGAACTCGTTGATCTTTCAATTATCAAACAAGCTATGTAGCATGGAGTTCAAGGTTGACATACGCCTCAAACAAATAAAAAATAAAAAATAAAAAAACAAAATTGCCGATGTTCTTACTACCGGACAGTGAGAAAAATAAGAAAAAAAAAAAAAAAAAAGACATGGGGGCTTTTAGGAAAAAAATATATCGATTCGACGTTGTAAATCTTAGACTAGTACGCTTTATTGAAAAATTCCTATAAAATTTTATTAATCCATAATTACCATAAATAAATACAGTATGTATATAATTTTTCTTAAATATGATATAAACCTAATTTTTCTTAACAATAAATGGGTAAACTCTCTATGCTTTTTCTACGACATAGAAGTTATATCCTCCTCTTATTCAACTGTCAATTTTAAATGGAGGGCCAAAATTGCCCCAATCATAATGTCACGTCTCTATATATATATATATTTTTTCTATAAATTGTTTTGACACCAAATTTTGGACGTCCATTCTTCTATTAAACACGCACTAGTGAAAAATATATAAAAAAAATATTATCAATAAAATCAAATGACCAAAATATTTCTGAAAGTTTCAAAGGTATCTTGATTTTTATATTTTATCAAAAAATTATTTTTTATAAGTGTGCTTGAATAAAAAAATGATACATACAAAATTTTATACTCATATAATTTGTATAAATAATTTAAAAATAAAATATTTTGAAACATTAAATCTAAGATCAAATGGTGAGCGAGTAAAATTGGATGGTTACGGAAGAGGATAGAACTTCTATGCTCCAAAAAAAACAATACTCCTTTCCCAAAATAATTCTCTTATTCCGAGACTCTTCGTTACCCTCTCTTTGCACAACTCTCTCTCTCTCTCTCTAAAGTCTTCTCCCTCTTCGCATAGAACTCTTCTCTCTCTAAAGTCTTATCCCTCTTAGCATAGAACTCTTCTCTCTCTAAAGTCTTATCCCTC